CTTGGAATGAGAAGATATATGGATTTCTAAGAGAGAAGGAATTTATGAGGTGCACAAGTGAACATGGAGTATATGTAAGAATAAGCAATAGTGAATTGCTTATACTATGTCTCTATGTCGATGATTTATTTATAACAGATAGCTACAAAAGTGAGATCGAACACTTCAAAGGTAACCTCAGCAAAGAATTCAAAATGTATGATTTGAATGACATTTCATATTTTCTTGGCATCGAATTCTACAAGAGAAGTATAGGTTTGATGATGCATCAAAGAAGATATGCAGGAGAAATTTTCAAGAAATTTGAGCTGGAAAAATGCAACTCGACTATGACACCTGCAGAACCAAGACTGCAACTATCAAAAAATGAAGATGAAGATGATGTCGACTCAGTCCAATACAATAGACTTATTGGGTCATTAAGATACCTTTTTCATACGAGGCATGACTTAGCATACAATGTAGGTATGGTAAATAGATTCATGCAGAAGCCAAAGATATCACATCTAACAGCGGCGAAGAGGATATTGAGGTATCTGAAAGGAACTCTTGACTATGACATTTTGTTTCCTGCAGCTGATAAAGGAAAAGAATGCAAGTTAGGAGGATACACTGATTCAAGTTGGTGTAGTGATGTTGAGGATAAAAAATCTACAGCAGGATATGTGTTTATGTTAGGTGGTGCACCAGTTGCTTGGAGTTCGAGAAAGGAATCAATAGTAGTGTTATCATTGTGCGAAGCAGAGTACATAGTTACTTCTCTTTGTGCATGTCAAACAACATATATGGTGAACTTGGTCAAAGAGAATACAGGTAAAGATCATGAAGCAATTACCATGAAGTTCAACAGTATGTCGGCTATCAACTGACAAAAAATCTGATAACACATGATCAAAGCAAGCACAGCGAAATGAAATTTCACTATCTTCGAGAACAGGTAGCAGATGAGAAGATGAACTTAGAATACTGCAGAACTGAGAATCAGATTACAGATATCATGACAAAGGGAATGCAAGTCGAAGTATTCAGAAGACTAAGAGTTATGATGAATATAAATAGCTTAGACACAGTGAATTAGGTGGTGTATTGAAATTATAATTTCTTGAGTCGAAGCAGCTTGCTCGACAGAAAAAGAAGTGTCGAAGTGTGGAAGCAGTTTGTTACACACAAATTTGATTTAGATCTAAAATAGATAGACTTGATTTAGCTCTAAAATATATGGGTTTTATTTAGCTCCAAAATAGGTATTTTGGACTTTCATAGTTTTAGGCTTTGACTTAGAAAACAAGTTAACCTAAATCTATAAATAGAATGAGTAACTCTTATAGAACAAGTGAATAATAAAGTTTTTCACAGTTTATGGATACAGAGAAACTCTGCAGAAAAAATACTTTCTTTATTACTTCATCTTTTATGTTTTCATTGTCATTATATGGTGATATCAATCTTGTTCATCAAAATTGATAAAAATTCATCATAGATTTTGGTGGAGCATAATCTTGTTACAACTTGATAAGAGAATTTTATAACCTAACATTAGTCACTTGTGCATAAAGTTATAACTATTTAAGTTAACAGACTCATATACACACCACCTTATTTGATATTGGTCGATGACTCAATTTCCATTAAATTCTTTAATTTCAGAGTCAACAAATCTGTCAAGCAAATGTGAAATGTAACCTTAGGTAGCAAGTCATCCACGTAGAGAGACGGCATGACAATCCCTATGTTAGTGTCTTTTGTGATGTACACTCTATGTTTCAACACACAGCTGAAGTCAATTTCAATCAAGGACGCAATTATCCTTTTGCTCCAAGCCAAAACATCTATACAATTTAAGGTTAAATTGAATACTTAACAATCATAGATATCAGGAATTTCGACATGTATACTAAAATTGTCGAGTAATTTAAGCATCATTGTCTTATTTAATCTCTAAAATATACAAAAATAATCAGAATTTCTTAAATAAACATATGTATAAAATATTCTCTTTGCTCTTAACAATACACTTTGAAGACAATTTATCATTTTCTTAAACTTTATCAGCATGTTAGGATTCACTGTCAATTATATGAAAAGAAAACCAGCCACCTCTCAAGATTACACACTATTAAGCAGTCTCTACTGCAAACTTAACGCAATATTAACTTTCCTCATTTTATCACCTTCATCTCTTAAGTTCTACATTGGATTTAAGTTTGGTTCCTAGCTAGAACTTTCATGTAAATGTTACATAAGAAGAAATCTCACAAGATATCGTGGCGATAGCTGCGTACTGTGTACAAGTCAAGCTTCCATATTTGTCTCCTAATGAGTCGTAGAATTCGACATATGATTGCTTGCAGACTTGAAATACGCATGTTCTGCATTCGCTAAACGACTTTGGAACATGGTCCACTCCCTCCTACATCTCTCCCTCACCTGCCATCAACAACATGAAAACATTAATCGAATTTTATCATCAAAATTATAAGACATAGACAATAATGAAACATAAAACATACCCCCTGCCATGGTGCTTTCCCGGTTTCTGTTTTACCCTGTAAAGAACATGAAAAGTTATAAGAATCTTACAGCTTCATTCGTGACTATGAAGTTTGATATACAACAATAATGGAAAAAAATTTTACCTGATTTCCTAGTGTGGGAACACCTTGGTGAACAATCCACTGAGCATCAACAACTCCAATCTTCTCATGTGCAGGCTATATCAGGATAAAGAAGTTAGCTTAAAGCACGTAAAAGTAAGAGTCGCGAAGTTAGAGAATGTGGGAATAAACTAACCTCAACGCATCTTCTAACAGCAAAATCAAGGCCCCACCCATGAACTAAGTCATTCTACAATGCCAAGAGTTGTACGGTTACAATTTATAACACACTTAACGAATCATTAAAGAAATTAGCGGGAATCTTTTAAAATGGTTAGGATTAGCCATTCAACCTGAATCATGTGCCACACACAACGCCATGCTTCTCGTGAGAAGACTGGAGCCATGATCTCAACAAAACTGCTTTCATGTGTCAGAAAACACACAATTAGATACAATCCAGAAGGCCAGATAATACAATATTTATTATACATTACATCAGAAGTTACTTTACTTACGCTGCACAAGGAGGTAGATGAGGGTCAGAACACCAGCCTGGTTTCTCCTCCGTCACTCTAATAAAAATAACGAAAAAATAAATAGTTAATGCACATTATCACAAAAAATTATGAACCACGAGAAACTGCTATTAGGCTCTAATCGTTCTTCTTACTTGTGCACTTCTTTATCTCCTCTTCTCTTTGTCATTTGCCATGTTAATCCTTTATTAGGTTCTAAGCCTGGCTGTGAAATCTCAAGGCCATGCTTCTTCACCAGTTTTAAGTACCTGCACTTGAAATGGGAGGGGCATATGAAACTTCAATCCAAAATGCATCTTTTAAAAATATCCTTCCCATATCAAATACTCACTCTTCGGCATTAAAATGCTCAACACCTAGGTCTTCATCCCATATAAATATATAGTCATATGAAGCCACGATGTCAGGATGAAGAAACCGCTTAGCATACCACCTAGAAGGATAAAACTTCAAATAGTCAATATGATACAGAGTTTTGGAATATCAACTCACTTTTAATTAGGTTAAACACTCTTAAGTATTATGTATTAGCTGCAAAAGCCACAAATCTCATCCAAAAGCTAATAACATACTGTGGCTTCTTACCATTTGGTCTGTTTGCGAGCACTGACATGAATAGCCTTCTTCGACCATTCAAACTCATCCCATTCATTAGTTCGGCCATCATAATGAAATAGAAGGATGGTGAAGTTCGCTGAAAACTGTTCAAGAAAATGTTTAGTTATAAAGACACATCAACAAGCACACTCAAACAAAGAGAGCAAGAGACTAAGAGAGACCTTTTTCACAGCTGCGTCAATATTGTTTTTCATATCATAGCCAACAGTGAAGGTCACAAGGTACTTTGGTTTGAACGTTAAATCCTGCAAGTGCCATCTTAATTAAATCTTTTGTCCAGTTGCAGGTTTTATATGTTTTCCTTAAATAGAAGAAAAATCTAATGTAATTTTATTATGACATTTAGAGCTTACGCACCTCACTGGGCTTGCCCCACAATCTACGCAAGTAAAAGTCCGACTCAGCTTCAACGATGCCAGGAGGTAAACTTTCTGCTCCTCTTGGATTTGATGGAACCCAAATCTGTATAGAAACAATAAAGCATGGAGCATGCAATTGATCAATATTATATAAAAACAAAATCATTTTTGGAATCCCTTATAAATAGTGTATGAATGATTAACGAACAAGCCTATGAAAATGTCATTATTTTCTTTCCTTTCGATCCTAGAAGGCATGGAGTCGTCAACTAACTTGATCTCTATAAACCCGGGAACTTAGAATGTTCTTATAAGTATGGTAGAGCACAATGTGTACCTTTGATGTATCATTTGATAAGTGATTAGGCGAAGCTCTTTTATTATTATTGTTGTTCACAAAAGACCAAGCTTGACGACCTGAATATTTGTCTTCAATGTAAGAGAGATCAATTGAGGGAAGCAAGCCAGATGGAAGATTGAACTGCAAAATGTTATGCAGTATGCACTATAAGCATTGGATTTGTTTAGTCTAATAACAAAACAAAAAAAACTACTATAGCACAAGGTAAGAAAAAGAAGATACTACATTTGTACCTTTGTTAATGACAATGTGGGAAATGACACTCCTAGAAAGAAGCCAAAAACTACTCCAATAAAAGTTGTCACAATAAGCCTCATAATTTCACTTGGTTTTCTACCAGTAGAACTAAAACCAATGAAACAGAAATGTCACACAATGGAGTTATTAATGTAAATAAGCATACACAGCTTTTGTGAGAGAAAACAAGATCACCATTGACTACACCTGCGAGTAACCGTCCCCATTTATATCCGAACTTCCCTAGCTGTATGCTCATAAAACTATATGTAGAAGTCACACTTCACATTCATCAACCAGAACATATACTCCGTGTAAGCAACAAAAATGCTTGTTTAAAGAACAAAAAACCCCTGCTAAAGAAATAAATAACAAAGAAAAAAGATACATTAATAAAACATGAAATGTTCGAGAAGTTCCCAAGAAGCAAGAACAAAGGAACCAAGTATAGTGCAGTCAATGATGAAAACCAACAAGTGAAATGAACCATAAGCAAGAAAACAACCTCCAAAATTAGCTCAAAAGGTTAAACAACTAATATGATCTCCAAGAGAAACATGAAATGCCTACAATAATAATGATCCCAAATGAGTAGCTCCCCAATTACAAAACCATTTCGAAGCTCTCTAGCACAGACACCTCTGAGACGCGTCAATAATGGTAGACACCGCCGACATTGACACTTGTGTTCAATTTATTCATTTTTTTAATTATTAGATGTGTCAGTGTCCTGTCCAGAGTCCGTGTATGTGTCCGTGCTTCATAGTGTAGAAGTTTCTATAAAAACATGAACTACCACCGAAGAATAGATTCAATTCAAATAAACAAAAAGAAAGAAAACATAAAAAAACTTGTCATATTTAGAAACAAAATCAGGCAATCGAACTATCATAATTGTATTAACTATCATAATTAACTGAAAACATTAATCAAATAGCAATAACTGTATCTAATAATAACTAGAAGGATCGTAATTTCCTCCAAATTTCCTTCCAAGAGTTGACAGAATTGAAGAAAGTAGGAGTAAACGTACCGGAAAAAGCAGGGTTTAAGATAGATGAAGATCTGGGGAATAGTGAAAGAAGGTTTTAGAGTGAAAAGGTGAGAAAACAAAACCCCAGCTGGTGAAGTGGAAGGAGGTGTGGTTATCGGAGAATGAATTATAGTGGCGGCAGAATGGAATGTTGAGTTTGTGAGGATGGGTTTTATAAGCATAAAGAAGCACTAAGAAACAAGATCTTTGTGAGTTTGGAACAAGAGGGTTCACGCTTTTGTTTGGATCCTTTTTCTGATTTTGTTTTTGTTTTTGGTTTTGGTTGGGTTTAAGTTTCCTTCATCTTCCACTATTTTGTTGAGTTACTACTACTATAAGTTATTATAAATTAATTAATTCCTTCAACTTAATTTCATAATGTTTTTTTAATTATCAAAATAGAATTCATTTGTTTTCTAAGAAAAAAAATAAGAGGAAGAGACATTCTATCTAGTTTAAAATAAATAAAAATATATCCGTTTTTTGCGGCTCTATGCATAATCACTTTTAGAAAAATATTTCGTCTGATTCTTTTTATAAGAGACATTTCATCATGTTAGATTCATTGAATAATTAATGTATCTGGTGTGTATTATAAATTAGATACATTAATTATTTAATGAGTTTAAAAAAATTGCGTGTCTCTTATAAAAAAGATCGGAGGGAGTAATAATTAAGGCTTTCTTGTTATTGTCACTTTTTGCATCTGAAATACTGGGCTAAGATTCACTTCGGTCGAGATGTTGGCTACTATTATATCAAGTTAGGCATTCTTTCTCTGGACGAAGTGACAATGAAGGAGAAAATGCAATTTTAGTTTCTGGGACATGGTTATGAAGACGGATTTGGTCACGGTGAGGCGCCCCCTAACAAAGTGGGGTAGAAGCGACTTGATACTCGTGCTATCTTGAGCATAATTAATCTTGAGGAGAGGGGGTCTTTGGTGAGAGAGGAGTCTTCGTGATTTTTTAACATGCATGATTGTATTTTGCAGATAGCATAGATAAAGTAAGAAACTTAAATATATTATATTGTCTTGTGGGTGCATCAACCACTTTATCGATAGAGGAACCAACTTCACCTTCGACTTTGATCAAGAGGGCTCAGGATAAGGGACAACAGTCTCCCTAGGGTGAAACTTCTCCGAAATGGACTCGGTGACTGGTGACGATGCTTTCGAGGAGTTGACTTGTCTCATAAGAATACCAGATATTTTCTTTTCTCGACCTTTTACGCACTCCTGAACATATTGATGTTATTGTCTTAGCGTCAAATTTATCCTTCATTCAGAACCTTCCTGAAGGAGATAAAAAGGAGATGGCCTCTGAACTTGTTCACAACATGTTCAAAGTTTCTTCTATCTTTTCTCTCATCTTTGTTTGACGAGGTGATATCTTGGCTCTGGGTAGTCCCTTCAAGGAAAAGGATACCTATGAATGAAAATCCAGAGTTATGGAGCTGAAGTGCGCCAATCTTCAGAATGAGTTTTTTGCCCTGCGGGAGAAAGTTAAGTCTGCTAACTCTTTGCAAGAGCTTGTGACAATACATGGCTCTCCTTTTTCCTTGGCGGCTCGCATGGCGTTTCTACTTCTGTTATGGAGAAGGCTCGCCATGTGAAAAAGTACCAGAAAGACGTAGAGGCCTTGAAAGCTCTCCAAGACGAGGTGGATGACCTAAGGCATGCACTTCATAATGCTCTTGAGTAGGCTATATGGGATGTGCTCGGAGTTCGAGAACGAGTTGTGGAGTAAGCGAGGAAGTTATACCCTAACACTATGATTTATGCTGAAGCACTGGATCCGTTTAAGTTTGTTTCCAGGGGTGGCTCAAGGAGGTGGTCTCGATGCGTCAGCTTGATTTTTCTTCTGTTTGTATTTTTTATTCCTTGTAGTGTTTCCCAGGCCTTTGTACCTTGAGTGCAATTTTTCAATGCATCATCTCTTTTGGGCTGAATGTGTGGATATAAACTCTTTTGGGCTAAATGTGTGGATATAAATGGCGTTTGGTCCATGGCTTGATCGATAGTCATATTAAAATTTTAGACTAACTCATTTTTACAAAACTGAGTTATAAAGTCATGAATATAACTCTATATAAATTCTTTAAAAACTCTATATTTAACTAATATGGAACTTGAAATATTTTCAATACATCGTTGTTTGACCTTCTAAAATTTAGCAAACACCTTTTTACATATAACATTTATTATTGAATGTTGAAACTTTTCATTCACCATTCAAAATTAAATTTTTAACCCTTGTTTAAATTTAACTATAGATGCAGCAACATAGAGTTGTTTGTGTGTAAAAATAAGTGGTGGAAAGTATAATCCTACGATAGATAAAGATTTATTTTTCCTAATTAGAAAAACATAGAGACACGTGGATTTGTCTATGTTTAAACTAAGAAAATTTGGGATTTGAAGGTACTAAATTCATATTTTAAATAATTTGTTTTCAACATTTCTCCTTGCTATAATATTTGTTGTTGTGATATTTGTTCTCAAATCATTAACTTGCAATCTTGTTTTATTCTGGCTTGATAAAAAAAATTTATAAGTGAATGTTTGATTTGCCTTTTGAAAAGGGTAAAAGCAATTTTAAATATGTAGAAGTGATTTTATTTGATTTTAAAATGTTAGGTAGAAACGAAATTAGAATTGATTATGTCTTCAAAATTGATTATACTTGAAGATAGAATTTGTAATTTCTATTTTCAAAAATGATTTTGTATGATTTTTATATTGAAATTTATTATTCAAACAACGATTTGGAATATAGGAGTACTTGATATCATTTAAAAACTTAAAAATAAACTAATTGCTTCAAAAGTTATAGTTTTCGAATGACTTGCAAAATGGAATATTTTTTTAAAATATTTTTTTTAAAATTCTCAAATACCTTTTTTTTTTAAATTTAAAAGTAACTATTTTTTAAATAAAAAATTTGTCACACAGAGGTCAAACCACTTTGTGTGGCACATGCATGTAAATTAGAGAGCAGACGCCACACTGCATGGTTTGTCTTCCTATGTAGTATCATGCAGTATGGCGTATGCATGTAATTTTAAGGAGGAGACGCCGTATTGGATGGCTTGACAGTTGTATTTGATTTTCTATAAATGCAACCATCCATCTTTCAAAGCAATTGATTTATTTTTAAGAGTGATGTGAGAAATAGTGCGGAAAATAATGAAGATGAGTAATTGCATTTATAAAAAATCAAATATAGTTGTCAAACCATCTAATACGGTGTTTCCTTCTTAAAATTATATGCATGTGTTACACTGCATGATACTACTATATAGGAGGACAAGTTATGCAGTGTGGTGTCTCCTGTCTAATTTATATGCATATGTCACACAAAAGTGATTTGACCTCCGTGTAACGATTTTTTTTTTGTTTAAAAATTGATTACTTGAATAATTTTTATGAAAAAATATTTTTTTGTAAATTTTTTAAATAAAATTCTACAAAATGTATCTAAATTAAAATAAAAATTTTCTTCTCTGAAAATTAAAGATAAAATAAAATTATTTATATTATCCAACAAATTTTATGTTTGGAGTGAGAATTTATCGCTCTTCAAACTACCTTTCATTTAAATATATCATTATAAGAATGACTCTAATAATTTTTTTTCTTTTGGTAAGATTTTGACATTATCTTTAGGATATGTTCAAAAACTTTATTAAAAATTGCAAAATATTATTGATTTTAAAATTAATAAATATTGTCATTAAATCACTTTATTTAAATAATAAAAGAAATAAAAATAAATTATTTATTATATAGAAAATTATGTAAAAATAAATTGTCAGAAATTTAAATATCTTTTTTATTGTAGTTTAGATAGAGATTAAATTGTCATTTTTTATAGTGTTAAAGGTTACTTTTTTATAAACTAAATTTAATTCAGTAATTATTTTGGGAGTTTTTCGCTAGAAACAAATTTGTTTTCCTAATTTTTTAAAGTTATTTAACTTTAGTAATTAGTATCTAGTAAAAAATAGTATTTTATGCTATTTTTCTTAAATAGATCCTTTAAATACAATATTATATGTTCTGCTTTGTTTTTTTTTTTTAACATGTTGATTTTATGTTTAAAAAACGTATATGTTACTTTTTCTTGAGGTTGGTAAATCAATTTCATATGTCATTTTTTATAAATTATTTTTTATTATTATTTTAACTAGGATGTATCTTTACTTCAATATATATTTATTTGTTTATTTATTTTTTATTTAATCAATCAATTTTGATTCATATAATAAATTGATTAATTTGATTTTATCATTTAAATAGACGATTTAATGGTTAAACTTTATTTCCACTCAAAATTAACTTGAATATTTATTTTTAAAAGGAGAAATTATGATGATTAGACCTTTTGAAAAACAATATATTTTCTATAAATATCTTGATGTAAATGTCGAATTGTGGTCATAATCATTTTAAATGCGTGCAAGAAATTTCCATGCAGATGTGATTATAAATGATAGAGGTGGATTTTCTTCATATAAAAAGTTTGAAGCACTGTAACAATAACAACGACAAAATGAAAAGACTAAATTGTCTTATCGTATAACTTTGAAAATCATAATGCTAATTTACTCTCTCTTTTGTTTTTATATGATACCACGATTTTTATTTTATTTTATAGAGAGAAAAGTATAGTTTTCTTAGATAATAATTTTCTTTTTCTATAAGTAGATTCAAATAACTTTAAAGTTTATAATTTATAATTATTATTCTTTCATATTTGAACTAGAAATATGTGTAGATCAAACGTACTTGTGTTCTGATTTGATGCGGTGGAGTAAATTTTTGGTACGCCGAAACGAGAGTGAATATGTAAAGTTAGTATTTTAACGCTAAAATAAATGAATGAGAGAGAAATTAATTTAAGGGTGTGAATGAGAGAATATTTAGAATGATATTCATTGTGCTTTATATAGTACGAACGGTAAAAGTACTTTCTATGAGAGCCGTCTTACTCGGTGTACATTTGATAAGATCCAACAGTGGGAGGTATGTTGGAGGCCGGAATCTCATGCCCTTAATTTGAGTGAGGTCTCACATGTTTTGCACACATTTTCGAGTGACGTTTGCTTTAGGCTTTTCATCACGGGTCTTGCAAGTTGTCCAGAACAATTATCCTCTAATTGCATACTTGTCGAATGA